CTCTCTCTCTCTCTCTCTCTCTCTCTCTCTCTCTCTCTCTCTCACCTCTCTCCCTCTCTCTCTCTCTCTCATTTCTCTCTCTCTCTCTCCAATCATATGATCTAGAAGCTTCCTCCCGGTTTATCTTTCGGCGATTCGAGGAATTCCAAGATCGTTAACGATTTTAAGAACCGGAAGCAAGACCACACACCACGCGCGCTCGCGAATGAGTTCATGACAACCACTCGGGGACATTTGTACTTCCAAGCTCATATACTTATGCATATAAATACGTGTATGGACATATAAAACACACACGCAAGCGCACATATACATACGCACACACATAGAACATAATCCACGCACACCACACAGACGCACATACATACGCACACATACACAGACACACACAAACACATGCACACACAAACACACCACACACACATACGCACACACATAGACACATATACACACGCACACACACAGACGCACATATACATACGCACACATACAGACACAGACACAGACACATGCACACACAAACACACATGCACACACATACCACACACACTACGCAACACATACACACCCGCCCCATCCACCGAACCACCCACCACACACACACACCACACACATCCGCACACACACATGCACGCACGTACGCACCCACAATCCTCCACTACCTGCATTCGCACCCCCTCCCCCTGCCGTTGTCCTGGGAAACCGTGTTACCATTTCCCTGAAGCCTCTCTCTCTCTCTCTTCTCTCTCATCTCTCTCTTTCTCTCTCCTCTTCTCTCTCTCTCTCTCTCTCTCTCTCTCTCTTCTCATCTCTCTCTCTCTCTCTCTCTCATCTCTCTCTCTTCTCTTCTCTCTCATCTCTTCTCCTCTCTCTCTTCTCTCCGATCTCTCTTCTCTCTCTCTCTCTCTCTCTTCCTCTCCCTCATCTCTCTCTCTCTCTCGTCTCTCTCCTCTCTCTCTCTCTCTCTCTTCTCTCTTCTCTCTCTCCTCTTTCCTCCCTTCTCTCTCTCCTCTCTCTCTCTCTCTCTCTCTCTCTCTCCTCTCTCTCTCTCTCACTCTCCCTCTCTCTCCCTCTCTCCTCTCTCTCTCTNGAGAGAGAGAGAAGAGAGAGAGAGAGAGAGAGAGAGGAGAGAGAGAGAGAGAGAGAGAGAGAGAGAGAGATGAGGAGATGAGAGAGAGAAGAGAGAGAGAGAGAAGAGAGAGAGAAAGGAGAGAGAGAGAGAGAGAGAGAGAGAGAGAGAGGGAGAGAGAGAGACAGAGAGAAGAGAGAGAAGAGAGACAGAGAGAGAGAGAGAGAGGAAGAGAAGAGAGAGAGAGAGAGAGAAGAGAGAAGAGAGAGAGAGAGAGAGAGAGAGAAAGAAAAGAAAGAAGAGATAGTGAGACAAACAGACAGACAAGCCAAGCAACCGCCAGACGGGAGACAATGAGCGGGTCCATTATTTCTCCATTTTCTCTTGTTCTTAATATGAGATAATTAAGGGTAAATGAGTAAATTAATTAGCAGCGAGCCAGTCCCTCCAGAGGTTTTAACGAGGGAGATTTGGAAGGGAACATGACGTTATTATCTCCATTTTTACCTTTTCTTATTATATTTTTAACCGGATGTGACAATATTATCTTTCTTTTTTTTCTTTTCTTTTTTGTCTTCTTGCCAGTCATGACATTGTCCTCATTTTCAAATCTTTTTTTGGTTTTATCTTTCAATCAGATATGACAATATTATCGTTTTATTTCTTTCTTCCTTTTTTTTCTTTTTCTTCTTGGCAGATATTGTTATTATCTTCATGTCTTTTTCTTGGGGGGGGGACAGACATGATATATTTTTTACTTTTTTTTATGACATCACTATCTTTAGTTTACCTTTTTGCTTCTGGACAAAACATCATTACTTTTAAAACGTTTTTCTTCTTCTTCTTCTTCTTCTTCTTCTTTCTTTCTTTCTTTTTTTTTCCCAGACATTGGATTATCATCATTTTTTAATTATTTTTAAAAATCTATCTATTTACTTATTCATTTTATTTTATTTTTTTTTTTTTACTTTTTCTTTCCTATTTTTACCAGACACGATTCCATCTCTCGCCTTTCTTTATGTCCCTCGTCCTGTGGAACAAGGAGATTCATAGGAAGAGGAGAGACGAGAATAAAGAAATGTTAAAAGATAATTAATAAAGAAAAGAAAATTGAAGAAAGAATAGAAAGATTCAGAAAGATATAAAACGCGCAAAGATAAACAAATAAAGAGGCACAGACGTGAAGAGGATAACAGCAAGAAACTAAAAATGAAATCTGAGACGAAGTTACAAAGACAGGAATAGAAATACAATAAAAGAAATCCAAAGTTCAAAGAGGCGAAAGTCAACAAACACACAAAAAAGTAAAAAAATAAAAAGATAAACGTAAATGATAGAAGTTCGTGGCCATAAAGATGGATTCTCATCTCGAGACTTTAAGAGTGACTTCATATGCTTTTTACTAACGTCTTGACTCAGTGGATGTGATGCACGATTCCAGTATGAAGTGCTAGCGTTCGAGACCCTAAGCTGTGCAGCGGTTGTTAAAAATAATTCAAATAACCAACAAAAGAATAAATAAAGGAAGAAAAAATGGCATGAGCTAAGGGGGGTTTGCCAGAATAAAAATTCCGAAAGAGCAACATTTGAGGTCAAAGAAAAGTCTTAGTTAAGGTCACAATGTTGTCATATTTTTTGCTAATATTTAGTACGCTTGATGTGCTTCGTATAAAGCCTGGGATTATGTGGACTCATTAGAATCAAGTCCTCGTAGGTGTTTATTTACCTGCCAGATGCTTTAATATTCCCTTATTTTACCTGTTGCTTTATAATTATCCCATATTTGCTTGCGGAAATAACTTTCATCACTACCTTCTTCGCAATTAAAAGCAATTTTCATTTGCCGAGTCTTGTCTCAAAACCTCCTCCTCCTTCCCAATAAAAACACACGAAACAATCTGAAATCAAGGTAATGAAAAGCCAGAAGCAAAAACGAAAAGAAGAGCAGCCAAAGCCAGCAATCCAGAAGTCGGACGAAAAGCCCTCCGCGAGCCTTGTCGACGCCGCCGCTTGCATCCAGCTGATAGCCTGACCTTTTAATTTCACGGAAGCTGGGCTTGATTATCCCGTCGAGCAGAGAACGAAAGCAGAGACGAAGAAATGTCACGAGAGGAGCGAGGTCAGAGACTTCCATTGCGCAGCGAGGAGGAGAATAGGTCATCATCGTTTGTGAGGACGAGTGTTAATTGCAGTAATTACAAAGTGTGGCTCTAGCTTTGATGCTGATTTATAGGCTGTTGAATTATTTAGTTGCAGATTAGCATGGAAGTAAATATTAAACAGAATTGATTTTGATTTGTTAAATGCTTCTCTCTCTCTCTCTCTTTCTCTCTCTCTCTGTCTCTCTCCCTGTTCTCTCTCTCTCTCTCTCTTTCTCTCTTTCTCTCTCTCTCTCTCTCTCTCTCTCTCTCTCTCTCTCTTCTCTCTCTCTCTCTCTCTCTCTCTCTCTCTCTCTCTCTCTCTCTCTCTCTCTCTCTCTCTCTCTCTCTCTCTCTCTCTCTCTCTCTCTCTCTCTCTCTCTCTCCTCTTCTCTCTTTCTTTCTCTCTCTCTCTCCTCTTTCTCTTTCTCTCTCTCTCTCTCCTCTCCTCTTTCTTTCTCTCTCTCTCTCTCTCTCATTCTCTCTCTGTCTCTCTCATTCTCTCTCTCTCTCTCTCTCTCTCTCTTCTCTCTCTCTCTCTCTCTCTCTCTCTCTCTCTCTCTCTCTCTCTCTCTCTCTCTCTCTCTCTGTCTCTCTCCCTCTCTATATATATATCTGTCTATCTATCTATCTATCTCTTTCTCTCTCTCTCAACTATATATATCTGTCTATCTATCGATCTACCTATCACTAATAACGGAGATATCTATATTTACCAAATCATGAATATGAATAGAATTTATGTCGACTTCCGTATAAAAATAGTTCAATCATCCTGTTGATAACACTTATATAGCAAATTCCGTGATGGAAATCGCGCGCCAATTAGAACCTCATTAACATTAAGAGCATTTTGCTTATTATTCATGTGCCGCCGACATCGCCTTCCCTGCCTCTCTCCTTTTATTGCAATTCTCTACTCCTACGCACATTTCTTGCGTAATCCATCAGACCTTTGGCTATATATATATATATATATATATATATATATATATATATTATATATATATATATATATATATATATATATATATATATGTGTGTGTGTGTGTGTGTGTGTGTGTGTGTGTGTGTGTGTGTGTGTGTGTGTGTGTGTGTATATATATATATATATATATATATTATATATATATATATATATATATATATATATATATATTAGAGAGAGAGAGAGCATATAAGCATATATATATATTTCCTGACAGATTTATTTTTCTGCGTCTCTAACTCCATTACCGTCACCTCCCCCCCCCTCCCTCCCTCGCCGACTCTTTGACCCCGCACTGCAACGACTCGCACCCTCATGACCCGCGACACGCCATCCTTCACCCTGACCTCTGACCCATGACCCCGTCCCGCGCTCGGAGGGACCGAGACACGGCAGCGAGTGACAGGAGGCCGCTTCCGCAATTTTCCGGACGGCGGCCATTCCCGAGCTCCGGGAATCGGGTCGTGTGCATCACGCGGCGCCGCTGTTCCTCCCGATGGACGCCGATGCATTCCGCTCTCGTGTTTTCGTTTCGGGACGGCGAGGGGAGAGATCGCCACGGGGGTCGAAGGGATTGCCACGGGGTCGAGGCGTTCGGGGAGACATTGCCACGGGGTCGAGAGAGGATCGCCACGGGGGTCGAAGGGGATTGCCACGGGGTCGACGGCGTTCGGGAGACATTGCCACGGGGTCGACGGCGTTCGGGGAGAGATCGCCACGGGGTCACGATTGCCACGAGGCGTTTGCCACGGGGTCGACGGCGTCGGGGAGAGATCGGGGGTCGAAGGGGATTGCCACGGGGTCGACGGCGTTCGGGGAGAGATCGCCACGGGGTCGACGAGCGGGGAGAGATCGCCACGGGGTCGAGGGGATTGCCACGGGGTCGAGGCGTTCGGGGAGAGATCGCCACGGGGTCGACGGCGTTCGGGGAGAGATCGCCACGGGGGTCGAAGGGGATTGCCACGGGGTCGACGGCGTTCGGGGAGAGATCGCCACGGGGTCGACGGCGTTCGGGGAGAGATCGCCACGGGGGTCGAAGGGGATTGCCACGGGGTCGAGGGCACGGTTCGGGGAGAGATCGCCACGGGGTCGAAGGGGATTGCCACGGGGTCGACGGCGTTCGGGGAGACATTGCCACGGGGTCGACGGCGTTCGGGGAGAGATCGCCACGGGGGTCGACGGGGATTGCCACGGGGTCGAGGCGTTCGGGGAGAGATCGCCACGGGGTCGACGGCGTTCGGGAGAGATCGCCACGGGGTCGAAGGGATTGCCACGGGGTCGACGGCGTTCGGGGAGAATCGCCACGGGGGTCGACGGCGTTCGGGGAGAGATCGCCACGGGGTCGACGGGGATTGCCACGGGGTCGAGGCGTCCGCCACGGTCGACGGCGTTCGGGGAGACATTGCCACGGGGTCGACGATTGCCACGGCGGTCGACGGCGTCGGGTAGAGATCGCCACGGGGTCGACGGCGTTTCGGTAGAGATCGCCACGGGGTCGACGGCGTTCGGGATCGTGCTGGGAATCGGTGCGAGTTGCCTGGGTTCCGCTGCTGTTCTGGTCGGAGGTGTTTGCGGGCGTGGTCCTCGTGTCCTTCTGTGGATACGGGTTTGGTGCTTGGTGTCTCTGGAAGGACTCTTGCATCGTTGACATTTCTCGTTTTAAAAAATGATAATGATTATGAATTAAGTATGGTGATAATAGTAATATAGTAATAATAGTAATAGTAATAATGATAACAAAACAGTGGGAAAACAACGATAACAACAATAGTAATAATAATGATATCAATGATAATGATAACAGTAGTAATAACAATAATAACAATAATGATCATGATTATGATGATAAAGATATTAATGATAATGATAACAATAATGATCATTATTGTTATTATTGTTATCATGATTTTGATAATAATAGCAATAATGATAACGATGGAAATAGTAGTGGTAACAAAACAACATAATCAATATAAATGATGATAGTAAAGATGATGATGATGAAAATGATGATAATAATGATGATAATGTAAAACAATGATGATGAGAAGATAAAGAGAAAGAATAGGAGAAAGAGAGAGAATAAAGTAAAGAAGAAACGAGTAAAAATGCAGACCAAAAGGGAGAATACTGATGAAAACAAAAGCGAAACGACAGAGAGGGAAAGAGAGAGACAAAACACGAAAGAGGAAGAGGAAAACAAAGCAAGAGAGAACGACAGAGAAAGACAAAATAAAAGAAAGAAGAAAGAGAAGGAAAGAGGAAAACAAAGCACAGAGAGCAACAAAGAGATTTAAAACGATAGAGAGAAGAGAGACAAAGGAGATGGAAAGCGAAGGACAAAGCAAGTGAGAAGCGCAAAGAGAAAAGCAGAGAAAGAAGAAACAGAATAGTGAAAAGAGAGGCAAACAAGAGAAGAGGGAAACAAAGCGAAAGAGAGATAAAACAAGACAGGAGATAAAGAGGAAGACAAAACAAGCTAGAAGCGACAAAAAGACAAAGTAGAACAAAGGAGTAAACAAAGATAGAAGAGAGACAAAAGAAAAGAGAGGAAAGAGAGACAAAACGAGACAGAGGCAGAAGAAGACAAAGCAAGCGAGAAGGGACAAAGAAAAAGAGAAAGAACTGGCAGAAGAGGGATGAGAGAGGAAAAGAGAGAGGAGGAGAGAGAGCCAAAACAAAAATAGAAGAGAGAGACAAAACAAGGAGGAAAACAAAGCAAGCGAGAAGGGACAAAGAAAAAGAGAAAGAAATGACAGAAGAGGGAAGAGAAAGGAAAAGAGAGAGAGACAGAGAGATCCGAAATAAAAATAAAAGAGAGAGACAAAACAAACATAGAAGAGAGAGACAAAACAAGGAGGAAGACAGAGTAAGCGAAAAGGGACAAAGAAAAAGAGAAAGAAATGACAGAAGAGGGAAGAGAAAGGAAAAGAGAGAGAGAGAGAGAGCCAAAACAAAAATAAAATAGAGAGCCAAAACAAAAATAGAAGAGAGAGGCAAAACAAGGGAGAGGACAAAGCAAGCGAGAAGGGACAAAGAAAAGAGAAAGAGCAGACAGAAGAGGGAAGAGAGAGGAAAAGAGAGAGAGAGAGAGCCCAAACAAAAACAGAATAGAAGACAAAAACAAGGAGAAGACAAAGCAAAAAGGGACAAAGAGGCAGCGAAGGCAAAGACGACCCCTGCGAGCGGCGCGGGCGAGCGGCGGCCGCCAGATAATAGCCTTATCATGTCCGGTCTTGACGCCTTCCTTATCTGCTTCCTTTCATCTTGGACGCGCGACCACGACCTGGACACCCCCCCCCCCCCACCCGTTTCTTTTTCTTCCTTCCTCACTCCATTCTGTTCTCTGTCTGTCTCTCTCTCTCTCTCTCTCTTTCTGTCTTTCTCTCTCTCTTTCTTTCTCTCTCTCTCTCTCTCTCTCTCTCTCTCTCTCTCTCTCTCTCTCTCTTTCTCTCTCTCTCTCTCTCTCTCTCTCTCTCTCTCTATCTCTCTCTCTCTCCCTCTCTCTCTCTCTCTCTCTTTCTCTCTCTCTCTCTCTCTCTCTCTCTCTCTCTCTCTCTCTCTCTCTCTCTCTCTCTCTCTCTCTCTCTCTCTCTCTTTCTCTCTCTCTCTCCTCTTCCTTATCTTCCCTTTCGTTTACCTTTCTTCCTCTCCCTTCACTTCCTTTTGTTCTTCACCTCTCCTTCATTATCTCCTCCTGTCCTCCCTCTCTTCTATCATCTCACTCCCCCATTCCCACATTTTTCTTATGTCTTCCCTTCATTTCTCCCTATTCTCCCTCCTCCCCCCCCCCCCTCTCCATTAAACCACCTCCTCTCCTTTTTTTTAAGATATTGTTATGGAGTCGACACTTTAGGCCGAAGACTCGTTAGGTGCAGTCTCCTTTATCTTGCCAGGTAGGCCTATTTAGGAGGGGGGGGGGCTCGTGGTGCAGGCCTCTTATATTCCCTTTTTTTCTAAGTATGATCTAAGAAACCTTTTTTTCTTTTCTTTTCATCTATTTTCTTTTTCTTTCTTTTTTTTTTCTTTTTTTTTTTTTTTTGCTGTTGTTGTTAAGGGTTCTTTCTTTCTTTCTTTCTTCCTTCCTTTCTTTCTTTCATTTTAAGTATGATTTATCTTCCATCGTTTGCTTTTCCTATTTCATAAATCAGCTGAATGGATATTAAAGGAATCTGAAGACACTTAAAGACGGAAAAAATATGGGGGGGGGGTAACCATCTTGTGTCATTCTCTCTCTTAATTTCTTTTTTTTCTCTCTATCTTATATACTTTGTTTTCTTTCCTTTATTCTTTTGACTCTCTATTCCATCTTTCTTTTCATTTCTTCTTTTTTATCTTCATATACCTTTCTCATCCATCTTCCGTTTTCCCCCATTCACCTCCCACCCATACCCCCCCCCGCCCATGCCTTGAAAACCGACCCCCATCACGCCCACCCCCACCCACCCCCGCCCGCCAGACCGCCCACCCACGCAGCCGCCCACCTCCGCCGGGAACGGAACCTCAACCGACGAAGTCCCCCTTTAACGGCGCCGCTCGTCTTTAATCCGGATCTCTGGAAAGTTGTGAAAGGGGAGGGAGGCGCTTTCGGTCGGCGGTGGAGGTTGTGGCGGGGAGGAGGGAGTGGGGGAGGAGGGGAAGGAGGGGGAGTGGGTGGGGGAGTAAGGGAAGGAGGGGGAGGAGGGAGTAGGGGAAGGAGGGAAGAGGGAGTAGGGGAAGGAGGGGAGGAGGGAGTAGGGGAAGGAGGGAGGAGTGGGAGGAGGGAGTAGGAGGAGGGGAGGAAGGGAGTAGGGGAAGGAGGGGAGGAGGGAGTGGGAAGGAGGGGGAGGAGGGAGTGGGGAAGGAGGGGGAGGAGGGAGTAGGGGAAGGAGGGGAGGAGGGAGTAGGGGAAGGAGGGGAGGAGGGAGAGGGGGAGGAGGGTAGTGGGAAGGAGGGGAGGAGGGAGTAGGGGAAGGAGGGGGAGGAGGGAGGGGAAGGAGGGGGAGGAGGGAGTAGGGAAGGAGGGGAGGAGGGAGTAGGGGAAGGAGGGGGAGGAAGGGAGTAGGGGAAGGAGGGGAAGGAGGGGGAGGAGGGAGGAGGGAGTAGGGGAAGGAGGGGGAGGAGGGGGAGGAGTGGGTGGGGGAGTAAGGGGAAGGGTTGACTTCAGGCTGCGGGGATTGGGGGGGGGGTATGGTGATGTGGGGGAGGCTCTGGTGGCCTTGGTGTGGCGTTGGTAATGGTGTGGTGGGTATTATGGTGGTTTTTTGATGATGTGTGACGATGGTGGTTGGTGATGGTGCTATGGCAATGGCTGTAGTAATGTTGTGATAGCATAGAAGACTTAGGCAATTGTTATGATGATGGGGATGGCTATAGTGATAGTGTAATGAACATTGGTGATATGGTGACGATTTTGTGATGTGGCATAGTGGCTGAAGTGATATGGTTATGGTGGCAGATAAGGTGACGGTTTAGTGATTATGACGATGGTTATGCCTGACGATGCTTTGGTGACATCGTTAATATCATGATGGGTGTACTTAATATGTGGCGTCTATGATAGTGCAATGTCCTCTGTAATTCTGGGAAGACTTCGAATTCGATGTTGATGGCTGTGATGGTGATATGGTGAGCGTAGTGATGAGACGGCGAAGGGTGTATAGTGATATGGTGGATGTTCAGGACAGAAAGATTTACTCTCAAATTGCGATCTGCCTTGTGTGTGAGTGGGTGCATTACCTGCATCTCGGCAAGAGCAGTTGATAATCTGGCGTGCATTGTTCCCACTTTCTCTCCCTTCTCTTCTTTTTTATTTGATTAATTTATCATATTTCTATTTATTTATTTTTTGACTGTACCCATTTTCTCTCTCTATATTCTTTTTTTTTTTAAAATTCATTCTCTCGTTTCTTTTTTTCTCTCATCTGCTCTCTCTTTTCTTGCCTCCTCTCTTCTCTTCTTTCCCCTCCATACGTCTCTCTCTCTCTCTCTCTCTCTCTCTCTCTCTCTCTCTCTCTCTCTCTCTCTCTCTCTCTCTCTCTCTCTCTCTCTCTCTCTCTCTCTCTCTCTCTCTCTCTCTCCCTTCTCCCTTCTTTCGTTCTCTCTCTCTTCTTTTCTCTCTCTCTCTCTCTCTCTCTCTTCTTCTCTTCTCTCTCTCTCTCTCTTTCTTCTCCTCTCTCCTCTCTCTCTCTCTCTCCCTCTCCTCTCTCTCTCTCTCTCTCTCTCTCTCTCTCTATCTCTCTCTCTCTCTCTCTCTCTCTCTCTCTCTCTCTCTCTCTCTCTCTCTCTCTCTCTCTCTCTCTCTCTCTTCTCTCTCTCTCTCTCTTTCTCTCTCTCTCTCTCTCTCTCTCACGCATCCCTTCTCATTTTCCCTCCTCTTTCTCCTCCCTTGTACTCTTCTGTCCAATTCTCTCCTCTTTCTCCCCTGCTTCTATGAACTTTCTACCTCTCCCTCCCTCTCCTCTTGTCCCCTTCTCTCTCTCATTTAATCCGCCTCTTCCCTCTTGCTCAGAACTTCCACCCTCGCCGCTGCTGATCATGCTAATAAGCCCAGAAGAGCATTCGCAGTATGAACAATTGAAGAGTAAATATTGACGTTGCAAAGAGCTCTTAATAGAGGAGTTCGGATGGAGATGGCGCTGTAATATCTTGGGCCGCCGTTCC